ATATATATATATATATATATTTAATAAATTTAAAATTGCTATCGTATTAAACATTAAACATATAACTTTGAAAAACTATAAAACAATAAATATTTTTTCTAATTTATACATTTTTTGGAGACAATAAAGACAGGTATATTAATCTAAATTTTAATTTCCTAGTTCAGTAAAAGCGCTGTCATTTCAATTGAATGAATAGAAACTTTTTTAGTGCGCTTTCATATCTCTCTTCTCAACAATTGTGACAAAGCTCTTGCCTCGCGTCGATTGAAAAGCAAGTCTGCAATCGATTTAATACGCACGAAACGGATTTCGTTGATACCTTGATTTATATTTTGCATTATTTAAATTTTACAATAAACGTTTACTATGTATCTTCAAAATAAATCAATAATTGATCACAAAAAACTATCTGATCAAAACTGATAGCCATTTTAGTTTACAATTAAGTATTAAACTGAATAAATTACGTTCACTATTAATGCAATATTAAATCTTAACAACGTAAAGTTATTATTACATCAATAAATTATAATATAACCGATTATTAAATTTTTTGTTTGTATTTTTTATTTAATTATTTCTCAATCTACATCGTGTTAAATGCATTTGATATTCGCTCATTATTTTGTATATCATGATAAATTCTCTCATAAGAAGGTGGTCACGATTTAATTATCGCTGCCAGACTTTAATTAAATTGATACCATCTTCGGACCGTAAAACAGTTGGACGTGTTCTAATTGCGAATTCCCGATGACTTGTTTACAAGCAGCGAGGGATATAACACATTACGTCGTATATCCAAATCGTTTTAATTAGAAAAAGCATACGAATTTTTATTCGTTTTTATGTGAAGACAAGATGTCCGAGATAACGATTAAATGAAGACTAGGAAAAGTTGATTAAATGACTTTTTTATTGGAAAAAGTTTTAAAATATCTTAAGATCATCTTATTTTTTTTCTAATTGAAACTAATTTTTCTGTTTCTTTGTGAAAACTAGAGTAGATAAAAGATGTAAGATCAATTGCACATTTCTGCATTTAATCAATTATTAATTATCATGATATTTAATTTATCATTAAAGAATCTTTTCGTTTCACGCAAAATCTCTGAAAAATTTTTATCATAAAATTATATTCTTTACGAAGATAAAAAGACTACAAGTAAATTAAATACGAGTACATTTTTAAGAAGTGCCACGTTCATAATTACAAAGAAAGAAAATTGAAGATAATTATTTCCATGTTTAAAAATTAAGCGTGTAAATTGTTAAAAATTCACGGAATTTAAAAGGTTAATTCAATGATATTTTCAACTAGGTCACTTTAACATACATAAATTTACGATGCAAAATAAGTCTAGGCTATTATAATTCGTACATACTAATTACGAAAATACACGTAGAATAAACTAATGGAAAATATGTCACAGCTTCATGCATAACGTTTTCTTAAAGAGGATATTTTTATATGTATAGTATTTGTGTTGCGTAAATGAGATTTACAGATTCTCTCTCTTTTTTCCTTACATAAAGTAATTAATCAATATTTTTTTACGATTTTTCCAGTTACGCGAAGCACACACGTACATAACTTTCAATGATAATTGATGTGACATCTTTCAAGATTAAATAAAAAATAGAAAAGAGAATGGTAAAAAACACGTTGATACGTATGCAGTATTTATCAATTTATTTTAACACGTTGATAAAATATATATTGAATATTTATATACAGACACAAATTATCCCAGAGGTCTTGATCTTAATTTTAACGAAATTCAGTTAAACTAAGGATCAATCTTTTTTTCAAAAACATTTTTTTCTTTCTTAAGAAAAATTTTCGACGATCATCTCTTGCCACAACGTTCTGATATTCGACAGAATAACTTTCGGTAATTAACTGACTTTCGGTAATTAATTGACTTTACTTTCGCAAAGTCCAATACAAATACTTGAACATCAGGTTTTATTAATCACAGCACATGAATTTGATTCACGAGAAAATCCTTATTTCAAACACTGTTATATGCATAGACCGAAAATGTTTGATGCCTTCGTAACGGAAACTTGGCTGAAAATCGTGTCATCAATGACTCCGTCGTGAAGATCGGGATCTTGGAAATATCTCGCGCATGAATACATCGCTCTTTTTTGACGTTACATTAATACCTATGGTGGATACAGTCATAATGGTAACTTTGCATAAGTTTGAATATCTCTTGGTTACCAATCACTCGGAGAAAGATTTGTACTCTAGTAATACAAGAATGTATGTACATTCGCCGCTCGTCTGTCGAGCATCAATTAGACCGTATGATGCAGCATACGATTCGGATCATAATGTCTTCATCTTCTAAATTCTTCATTGTAACGCCATAATTACAACAGCTTCGATCACCGCTTTTCTGCGCGGAGAATAGCTACATATAAGCGCGACATTATGAAATATTACAACGCGCGGCGTGCTTAATGACGAGCTACATCGACTATAGCATGTCCACGTTATTAGGTAATTAATGGAATGAATATAATGCTCACTCGACAGCATTAGCAGTAGCGTAGTTGCTAAATCACACGCACTTTTTGTACTCCTTTTCCGCTTCCATTAAAATAATACCACGATCATGGTCATTTAACGTTGGACAAGTAGAGTTAGCTCTAATCGCGAATCTTATCTTAACATGAAATAATTGATGTACCAATTGAATTCATTTTGTTGCGAAGACGTTGTTGCACTTCTTTTTCTTAAAATATATTAAGGTATTAAACTATAAGTAATTTAAAAGAACTATATACAAGCAAATAAGAAATAAAGAATTTATTAATGACAAAATTTAGAACCAGCTTGGCAAATAAATTTCTTTATTATTTAAATCCGGAGCGAATTAAATAAAATAATTTAAAAATGAATAAGATAAACTTTTATAGCACGCGTCTTCTCGATATTATTATCCATGTGTAAAATGTATGTTTTTTTAAAACTCTTATTGCAGTTATTTAAGTAATTATCACGCGTATTTGGCCAATAAATATAGATATGTGATCGATGGTTGTAATTGTTCAAGAAGGCACATTGTCAGACTCATTTAAAACAATCCATGGCAATTTGGTCCTTCTTGTATTTTTTTAGGCAACAAGAGAAGGCCTCGCATATATGAAAATATTTAAAATAAAAGAAAGTTTCGCGCATAATATTCAATAATTATATATATATATATATATCTAATATTAGATTATTGCTGTGAAGACTAGTGGCAGCATCTATTCTTCAGCATCCTCGGCATCTAAGATACTCTTGAAGTAAAATGGTTGGAAGGGGTATCCTAAGCCCTCGTAGAATTTACTCATAAACTCGACCCTAAAGAATAAAAAATGCTAAGCAAATAATAGAAAACAATAGGATACGATGATAAAACGCCTTAATTCTTTGCATTTCATCCAATGATCAGTAACTAAATTGACAGAAAAAATATTGATAAAAACATTTGAAATTAATACAAAGATACAGACTTAGTTTATTTGTCGAAGTTAAAACGTGAGTGATCAGTTAAAAATAATTTTATTAAACAAAACAATTAGATTTAATCTGTATTTCTTCTATTTAAAAAATATTCCTTGAGTCTCTTTTTAAAAAGTTTCGAATTTCTCTAACTTTACTTGAAACAAAACTTTATCGAAAAAGCATAGATTTTTTTGGAGCAGCCTGGTATGTCGTACGTACCAATGAAGTCGAAGCGTATGAAGGAATGCCGAGAGGCCTTCCATTAAGACGAGAATAACGATGGTGAAGAAGGCCCAGACAGCGAACACGAAGAACAGAATAATACTATTAACGTACTGATCCTCTTCAGCACCTAAGCCTATCCGCAACACTCTATTCCAGAGCACTTCTGACAGCTGCGAGTGAGCCAAAGACAGGGCCCACAATCTTAAATAAGAAGCAGTGTGCGAAACAGTAGACAACACGTATTCTATCGTGTGGATGGATTGATGGATCATCAGTTCACCAAAGCTGTCGTCCTCGTGACTGTGATCTTCCGCTGCAGTATCCTTGCTGGTGCCTGCGCTAGGCAATTCTTGGGGCTGTAACTCGAGGTCCTGAGACGCACTTCCGTTGCTCTGAACAAGTAACAACGTACGTGTTACATCAGCGTAATTCATTCGTAATCGCGATTAAATACAAAACACTAGTTCTCCTTCATTTTGTCTAATAATCCATCATTTTCAGACATTTATTATTATTAGCTATGTTATTTACTAAGTTTACGTCAACGATTACATCTACGACGCTCATCAAACTTGCTAAAATTACTAACTTTATATATACAAGTGATGCTTACAACGTGAGATAAAAATCGAAGAGTCGCATTTTTATTGTTATAAATTATGGATACTATAAAATAAATCATTATTGTTAATAATTTTATAAATAAGTGGTAGTAATTATGCACAAAGTAAAACAACAAGTTACTTACATAAATCTTCCTTCCTTGAGATTTTCTTTTTGAAAATAGAATAAATAATGGCTTCCCGAAGAGCATTACTGGAATGCACAAAAGAGCAGACAAAATCAAAACCAACTGCAAAATATCCTGTCCTTCGAACATATACTGGGAACAATCATTGGGCACAGTGGCATCTTTGAAAAGCATCATGTTAATAAATGTAATTAACACCGATGGTGCACAACCTGGTCTTC